GAAATTTGGTAAGTAAAGCCTAATGATTGGATCTGCACCACAGCGCATCTTTACTTTTGAAAATAGATAATAACGTAGGTAATTCGTAAATCAGTAATCAGTAAAATCAATAATAATCATTACTTCGGCCAAAAAAAGAGTGCATACCACAACCAACCATTACAGTACAAACCAAAGCCAGTTTCATCCTGTCATCTGGGCCCGGCAGTATAAGAGTTACTTGCTGTGTTGTTCTCATTTCTTAAAAACCAAACAGAAAAAACTTGGAAATGTAGAGCTTGAACTGTCAGTATCCTTTAGTTAAGTAGTATCCTTTCCACATACTTAAACACATCACTTACCCACAAATTAAACTACTGTTTTTATACTAAGACTGTTTCCTGAGATTTTATGTAGGGCAGAATGCATTTACATACTTACAGTGACAGCAGTAACTGGACTTTTAGGGGTTAAAATCAGTGTGGCACCTTGGAGAAGTGGAATATCACAGGAATATTACAGTCATGCATGGAATGGATTAAGAGTAGAGTTAGGAGGTCAAAGAGCAGGAGTTGAGGCTTCTTTAAAGGCTTCATTTTACAGCTGTTATTGGATCTGCGTGTTACACGGTCTGCAGGTTATAACTACATCAGTCACGACTGACCTCATAAGGCACTTCCTGCAACAGGCTAATGACCAGCCTGCATTTAGATTGCAGATTTTACTGAAGTAATGTACAGATTATATGTTTGAAGCCGGGAACCGAAGGCAAAATCAAAGCCTTAAGCATGAAATAAGAAACGATGTGGCTGAACCGTTTTTGTTTCTTCTTTTATCTTTATGGAAGCAGTTGTTGCTTGTGACAGCATGTACTCTCTCAGTAGTGCACTTCCGCTTATTAAAGCAAATAATATTTTGTTGTAGTTCCATTCACCCGCATTAGTAATAATTAATCAAAACAAACATTCAGCATGGCATAATAAAGCCTGCAATTGTTTTTCGTAATCAGACAACTAATTAGTTCGTAACAAGACAACATGTTCCTGCATTTTCTCAAAGGGGGAGAAAGATACGGAACAGCACAGAATTCTCTTTTCCTTTTCTACTCCCATCCCTGTTAATGTGGAATTCCACACGGACAGGAAATATTGTTGTGCCGTTCGTGCTATGAATAATGGATTTTCTCTATTACGGTGACTTCAATTGCAAATTAAACTTGTTTTTTTGGTAGCTTGTTTTTTTTTTTCAAAAACATGTTGATCAGAAGTGTTTTTGTATATCTGTATGCAGACCTTGTATTGTTCAGAATGCATATATATAGTGCTGTTCCATTCGTAGATTCCACTCTAGATGTCCAAAAGTTTGTAGACACCTGCTCATCCAAGATTTCACCTGAAATCGAGGGTATCAATAGGGAGTTTGTCCCTCTTTGCTGCAGTCACAGCCTCTACTCTTCTGGGAAGACCCTGGGAAGGTCCACTGACTCACAGTCCAATACTAGGAGCTTTATTCCCCTCCAGCTAATTTTGAATTGGGCATGTTGACCTTCATTAAAATAGACAGGCTATTTGTTGTACAATATAGAGTTCCAGTTGATCTACTAAATTGTATGAATATTGTTTATCTGCAGGATGATTATGATGCTCATATATTTATGGAGATATTTTGAGCCAGTTGAAGAGAATGGCCCACTTGTGTCAGCAATTGGGCTCCTTAAAGTAGCTTAATTAACCAATTAGAAGGGGTGTCTTTGGATCTATAATGTATGTTGACACTGCTTTTAAGTAATAAACCTGGCTCTTGCCTGTTTGTTGTCTTTACAATGAATTATCCCAGCAAGGCAAATAATACTCAACGGCAGAACATACCAACAGAAACTATGTTGTTTTTTATTGAATCAAAGTTTATCTTCTCAGACAAGCCAAAAACAGCTAATTCATGCAGTCATGCCGTTTGCTTTGCACACCCATATGGTTGTGTAATTCTTAATAAAGTAATATCTGTAAAATTGTTAGAGGTCTTCTCTGGATGCAGCACCCTACAGGCATTAACCACAAATTAAACTACAGTTTTCATACTAAGATTTAATGCAGGGCAGAAGGAAGCTTGGGGATTTGTTTCAATTTCAGCTTTTGGTCTGCATTAGTACGAGTTAGTCCAATGCATGCTGGGAGAGCAGCATGTGTTAGTCATCTCCTGGTAAGCGCATTGAGGTTGAAGCAATAGTGGGTGTCTGGGGTGAGTGTGAGGGTCCAGAACAGCCAGAGTGGGTGCCAGAATGCCTGCAGGAGCCGGAGCCGAGACAGAAAAACGGGATAAAACACAAGCAGTAGTGACCCGGCTGCTGAATACATGGAGTATTGATGTTTGTGCTGCAAAGAAAAGACAGGCATGACATTGTTTCGAGGAGGCAGAGTATTTTGGGGTTTCTTTTCTTGTCTATATGTGTGTGCGTGAATTCTGGATTCTTACATTCCAGTCTGTAGACAAATGACAGCGATATCTCCTTTGCTTTGAAAAGCAAGTGGGACAGGCGAGGGATGGCGTGAAATCTCTGACAAAACGATTTTTTGAAGGAAAGAATAGACAACATGGCCTCTCAGATGAGCTGACTTGGAGGAAATTGGACTGCTTCCTCCCTCTAAGCTTAAATGCAGACTGAAGAATGGTCCTCAAAAAAACAACAAGAAACAGAGCATGTATAAAAGAGAGCAGAAGAAAAAGAAGAAGGCTGATGGCTTTGTTTTTAAGAGCATTGCTCTCAGATTCCAAAGTCGTTCTGGATCTCGCTTACTCATTTGCCGCCATTGTGCTTCCACTGCGATTGAGCAGCAATTTGGCGGCCACGTTGGTGATGGAGGTGGAATGGTGGGGTAGCTGGGTTGTCTTCCTGGGGTGCTTCTTTAAATGAGCCCCATGAATGTGAAGCGATGGCTTAGAAACTGACTGCTCAACCCCATCTTTCTCTCCAAAGGGGTTAAGGGGGGCATTTTGGGAAACAAGGCCCATAAACCTAACAGCTGCCTCTCTGCGTGAATCCAGCTGTGCTGTTCCTGCTTCTGAGTAAAACGGAAGCTGTAGCTACAAATTCAGTATTGTCAGCATACCTACATGACCATACCACTTGTGTTGCAAATGAGAGGGACTGCATGTGTACATAAAGACAAAATAAGCTCTGATCTGTTACAGCTCATTTTACTCTGGAATACATACGCATACACATTCACTGGAAATAAATTGCATTCAGTGTAGGGATTATAATGAATAACCAGTTAACTGTCCAGTACATAAAAGTTTGACTAATGTTTTTAGATAAAATGTTAATTTCTGAGAAAAAAATATTATTTAAATAGTTGAATTTTCATTCAACTCGAGAACCATTTTTGAACTGTACACATGAGTAAGTGCAGCTTGTTCCTCTCATTGATGCACAACTCTGGGTTTTCTGGAGTTGAAGTTGTCTCTTGGACATTGTGTTGACTCCTTAAGTCCACTTGATTTTAACCACTGAGAAAACATATAACGGAGATTAAACTATCCTAAATGTAGTTCACACATTTTTTAAGCAACAGATCACAGTGAGATGATGAAATTTGATGCTTTTTGACTCTTAGAGTCATTGGCTGAGTTGACCCCTATGCTCAGGTGTGTTAAAGACTGGCCCTGCTCATGTGGATATGTCAGTATTTCTCAAAAAAAAATGTATTACCACATAACCACATGACACAGTGCTAAGATAGGTTGCAACTGATTCTTTTTTTAAATGTGGTGTTGCTTTTATTAAGTAGAGCCATAAGCTATAACCTGTAATGTGTTTGTTAGCTAACGTTCCGCCTGTGGAGTTAGTCCTATGACAAAAAAGCTTAAAAGCTGCAAGCTACTGACTTCATGTTGATAGTTGTTTAAACTATGCATATGTACTTCAAGTAGCCCCAGTCAGGCTATGCATGTTTTTTAAGGTGGGCTCATGTGTGGTAAATGTGAGTAAATTGTCTACATTACATTAGTCATATCTGTTATATTAGGCGTGTGTTTTTTTCATTCAAAAAACCTAAAGCCTTGTTTTTATAAAATGCACTACTGTGTTTGATGTTTTCATGTTTGATTTTTGTGATTTTAGGTTTTTCCATTTACAATTAATCACTCAGGAAGTTAAACAATACTTTACTGAGATGACTGTCAGTTTTCAAAAATGGTTGATAATTCTCAACTTTTAAAATTCCCCTGCCCTCCATTTTATGACTGCTGTCATAAAATTGCAAAAGCCCAGTTTCTGCTTGCTTTGGAGGTTCTTCACATTGGAGCTATGCATTTTTCTTCAGTAACGCTGACAGAATATATTTCAGTGGATGATTTAGAAAACTGGAAGCAAACTGTTTGTAGTTAAGCAAGAAAGTCAACATTTATAAAATATTACTGTGTTTGAATGATGTTTATTGTGTCAGTTGTACACGATTTTTGATATCGAAAAACTGCAGCTATGCTATCAGTTTCATCTAGGCCTGATGCTGATAAATCTGTGGAACTGTAATAGTGGCTGATTTTATTGGCCAAATAATGTATCAGCCAGGCCCTAGTTCACATATATTTACGAAACACAAAATAAGAACAACTGGGAAGCAGATCAACAGTTACTGGCTGCAGTGACTTGGAAAGAGGAACTGAAAAGACTTTAATTTAGAATTCTGCTTGGAATGCCAAAATTGTGCCTGTGTTCTGGGTTTCCTTCTGAATGGCCTGGTTTTTGTTGTACCTTATCAATTCTCGCTCTTCTGGCTCTTTTGTTTAATGCTTTGAAATACACTTTACCAGATTCTATGTTTGTGATGTTTTTACACAGAGATGTGTTGAATGTCAACATAATTGCTCTGAAATTTAAGTACTTTCATTACTTACATGCTCCTGAGACGCTGGTGTATTTATTTTTTTGTTAGGTATTGATTGAAAATCCTTGCTGATGTTTGCCTGTATGATAATTAACTGCAATACTGAGAGTCTCTTTCTCCTTCTCTGTCCTACAGATACTCTGCTGTCCTCAGGTCGAGGTAAGTGTTATAGTAATACTATAAAACTGCGTGATTTGCATTGTTCCAGAAGGTGTGGCTGATTATTTTGGTGGCTGGTGTGGCTGAATGTGTGTATTAACACTCATGAGAGCCATTACAGGAGCAGCTGGATGTGGCTGTATTTTTCTAAAATGGCTTTGCATGCTGTTGGGTGCTGTGCATTATGTGTAAGTGATGGTAGAAGACCGATTTCCAGAGTTCAGGTAAACATGGGCATTTTCCCCCAGCATGGCCGTTCATTTATACTCAGCGTGATTTGGCCTGCAGCCCTCATGATTCAGTGGTGCTGTTCTGTTCACACATGTATTGTCTGAATCAGAGAGGGCAGCTTTTTATACTTGAATTTGCCATTAGGGGAATAGTTTTGAAGGTGTGTGTGTGTTTGTGTGTGTGTGTGTGACTGTGTATCTGTATTAGGGCTGACACTATAGATTATATTAGAAATTAGGTAATCTACTGGTTATTTTGAGAAGTAATTGAGTAGTCAATTTTTACAAAAGGTCAAACAGTACAAGAAATAAAAAGATAATACTACAAAAAGATAAACTGGGAACGTTTTAAAATACCTCATTACAAAAATGCATTTTCCGTTTTATCAAGTCTACTTATACCATAAATGTGCACTTTGTTTAATTATCTATTTCTCTGCATAATTTACCTGCTTTAGCCTCTCTTTACCCTGTTCATCAGTGGTCAGGACCCCTGTCACTACCCAATTTGACCCGGAAACCTGATTTGGACCACGCATGCGCAGCAAAGGCATGTCAACATGCATTGTGTAAGGCTATGTCTGAAACTGAAGGCAGCTGTTGAACGTACCTGCAACCGAATTACGTTTAAGACGCGATTCAAAGACAGTAATAGATCACGCTATCATCAAGATACACACTGCACTGCTAGCTGTTAGTGTTAGCATCTTTTTTCCAGACTTTTAAGACATCTAGGATATATCTATGCTGCCTTCAAAAAAGCAACCAAACTGAGGAACCTCAGGCAGCGCTTTACCTAAACATTTAATTCGGACATGACTGGCTACCTTAGTGCCTCAGAATACTGTGTGAGTAGGCAGCATTTATTACGTCTCAGACATGGAAATGATGGAAATACATTTTCACACATGCGTGGTCTAACTCTGATTCAAATCAGGTAGTGACAAACCCCACAGGACTACCAGCGAGCAGATATTATTTGGGTGGTTGATCATTTTTAGCACTGCAGTGACTAACTGACATGGTAGCACCATGTTACAATGTGTTGCGCCGGTACACTTGGATCAGACACACTCAGGGACTGTCTGCCAGGGGCGTCATAGGGCCTCAGAATACAAGACTCGTGGTACCTGGGATAGTTTAATGCAGATGTAAACGTTAGCTGAATTAAAACCCCTTGAATATGTATAAATGACTAAATAAATAAATAAATGAGGAAATCTGTTCTTTGGCCCCGCACATTGTCTTGTATGCATGAATTATAACATATTTTATTATTAATATTTAAATTGACAAGTTATAGCGTAATGTTTTTGCCATTCAAATATGACATTTCAGATCATGTGTGTTATAGTGATGTTAGCATTAACCCTTCAGTGTGTGTAGGACTGTATCTATTATAACTTGTTTCAGCTTGAAAGGAAAAGAGAAGAATTTTTGACTCAGATCCTTAAATGTTATAAGATGATCATCAAATCTTACAAGAAAGCACAAACTGTTATGATGTTAATAAAAAAGGATCTTGCTAATAAGGCTAATTTTAAAACAAAAACAAACAACTTCCCAGCATTGCTTAAAGTGGATACAAATATGAACATAAAATTTTGTTTAATCTGACTTTTCAGGTCTTATTGATGTATTCCTTTCAAGGGCATCCACCTCTTAGACTTCTGACCATGAAGAGCTTTGTCCAAGTCCGAATGAAAGTAGTTTTTAAAGTAAAGTCTTTAAGTAGTGCTTAAAGCCTTAGGTACACTACACGAATTTTAAAGTCTTAACAGATTATAAAAAGACTGAGCATCTCACACTATTCGACTGATTTTTGCAGGTTTTTTGGGGCGACTGAAATATTGGGGATCACATACTAAGTGATAAGGGATCACACACTATTCAACTGCTGCTGAAGCGAACAGACCTTACTGAACTCGCACAAACTCACGCATTCTCCTGTTATTAGGAGACTCAAATAAAGGTGGAGCTGCTCGCTGCTGCTGTTTTCTCTGCTGTTTGCACTGACACAGTAAAGAAGCAGCAAGTAAACATGTTTAAGTGAGGATCATTGATTTAAAAATGTGGTCAGTGAGGTATTTATTAGAGTTTTAAATGTACATAAACTCGATTTTGCTCATGCCCTAAACTAAGCCCAATAAAAAGCTTCACTCCACAGGTGAGAGACTTTTCGCTTTTTTTCTTTGTTTACTTGCTGTATTTTCTTCTTTCACGCTCTCAGTTTTCATTGACTGTTGCAGGAACCCATTCAGATTGAGTCGTTGACCAGTTTACACTACTAGATCACGCACAGAGTCGGGTCAAAGAAATGTTTGATAAACTCTGACTGGTCTGAAACACGATCAGGAGGCCAAAAATCTGCAGACTAGAGCCATCTATCACAGACTCGACCAGACTGAGAATCAGGGCTAAAATCAGGGTAAAAGTTGTGTAGTGTAACCCTGGCTTAAGTCAGTCCACAAGATGTCATTGGTTTGAATCCCTGTGATGCCTCAAGCTCTTAATGGTTGGAAGTCTGAGAAAGAGGAGCACCCAAATCACCCACCCCAAATTGGGGGCACAGTGGGAGTGGTCATGGCCTGTGGAAGGCACTGACAATGGCTAAATTTAAGGAAGGAACTGAGTAAATTTTTGCATATAAAGAGGCAACTACAATCAGTAGTTGAGATCTCATTGGTTCACATTTTTTTCTGAGTAAGCTACTAAAGTGCTAAAGTACTAAAATGTAAGTTAGGACGACTTTTGACAATTTTTTTTTCATATTTTTTTACAGTGCCAATAATTATCCGCAAAAATTTGCGATCAAGTTTTTTTACTGAGTAAAAGAGTTAATTAAAGTAATGGTGACAGCCCTGCTTTGTGGATCTGTTTGGGAACAGGCCTTTGATGTGTCTATTTGTGCTCTTGGCATGTTTGTAACCTCAAACGGTAAGTGATGACAGCCCCCCGGTTTGGGCTGTTTGTCTATTAAGATTTATTCTGAGAGACACACTGTCTGGTCTGTGCTTGGGTATGTGTGTGCGCATGTGTGTGTGTTTTCTTTCGTCCATGTGTCCAGGACACAATAGGCTGCACCAAGGCGGAAATTTATTTTTGCTTTGATTGTTGCTGGACAAGCATATGATCCACCTGCAGAGCCCCAGGGCTTCTGGTGAAAAAAAAAAAAACACCTGCACTGACTGTGTGACATGCTACATCTGCTTAGAGAGAGAGAGAGAGAGAGAGAGAGAGAGATGATGTTAGATGGGCAGAGAAAGAATAAAGGAGAGAGCATGAAATAGGTAGAAACAGACAGAAAGAAATAGTGAGTGAGTGTATAAGTGAGTGAGCCCAGCGTATTGTACTGTGTGCACTGGTATCCTCTGGAAAGGCAGAAACGTTTTTAAAGGGCAGGCTTGTCTGTTTCTATCTGCTTTCTTTCTTCTTTTTTTGGCTCTGTTTGAATGGAATGACATTCCACACAGTTTTTAATTCATTCTGCACATTCCGAAAGAATAGAAGGTGTATAATGAATTTTCTAGATCAGCAAATTCACATGTCCAGAACAGCTTCTAAAAATGTACTGATGCTCCTTACGGCCTAACAAAACATCAATAGGAGGCAAGAAATTGCAGCAGAAAGCATTTGTGTGCAGACTAGGGCTGCACAATTAATTGTATTCATATCATCATTTCAGTATTTTCTTTCATTCTAAATGCATTGCAAAGAGCTTTGAAAACAGAATGGATTAATTTGCATATATACAAAATTAGAGTGATGCAATACTGGGATGGATTTAGATGAAAGAGTGTTGCCTAGCACAACAACAGTGGAGTCACCTGCCTATGGGGTCATTATCTGCTGCCCTATCCAACTGCTTACAAGGCGGAGGGATATGAACAGCTGTCATTAACTACTAGCCTTTGAGAACACTTTAAACAAAATGACTGTTCTCAGTCTTTCATGTGAAATATGTGATGACTGGTGTCACAGGGAATAGAACAGCCTGGAATCACTATAAGCTTTTTAAAGAACTGTTGATGTATTGATGATTGTATTGATCTTTGTACAGCTATATAGAAAAAAGGCAATTTTGGCAAAGTTTGATATGTTTGAAAAGATATATTTTAGCTTAATTACACATTGATTCCATTTGTTCAGACCATGTTTGCATACTTTTTTTTTGATACTTGCTGATAACTTACTTAGAGATTAGTTGTTAGTGTAAATGAGTGCAGCGTAACTTAACAGTTAAATCGTTAAAATCTAGCTCATTACCTGGCTATTATTTTAGCTACCTTTTATCAAGTTGCATTGCGCTGGGTTTTGTTCCATGTCAGAAAAGCATTTCTGTAGAGCTGTAAGTAAAGTAGGTTTCATAGTTTTGATCCCTGCTCCTCATGTGTCTCTTTCAGCAACAATCTCTGTAGCATAGTGACAGCAAGAATCATATTCTTGTGCTGATACTTCCAGAGAGCTCACTTGTGGAGTTTTACATCTTGTTGGAGTTTTTTGAGTGGCTGGTTCAGCTGTAGCCAAAATCTTCTTCTTTTTTTTCTTTTTTTTAAAGAAAGTTTTTTTTTTCAGAAGCTATGTAATTTTTTTCTTTGGTGACTCACACTTTATGTTTAAATAAACCAGTATGCCTGGACAAAGCCTATGATTTACATGCCCACACTGAACGACAACACTCGGTCCCATTCAACATGGGTGCTCAAACGCAACCCCAGTAGACATTGAATTTATCCATGGACAATTTCCAAAAAGCTGTTTCGTTCAAAA